TTATATTTAAATCACCCATAATAATTATTTTTTTATTTCTGAATAATGGGTTTGAAAGAGTGTTAGACAATTCTTCAATAAATTCATTCACATCACCATTTGGTGGCCTATAGACTACTCCCACTAACAAGTTTTTTTCTCCAGGAATTATAATCTCAACAAATAGAGATTCTAATGAATCATTCATAATGTACAATTCTTTTTTTCGTATGACACTCAAATGAAATGGGAATATACATTGCTACACCACCACCGGATCTGCTTTGTCGATCATTAGTGACTAGTTGATACCTAGGAAGATCGTACATGGCAGTTGGATGACTAGAAAACCAAGTTTCAGTGATTCCAATTATTGGGTACTTATCCTGAAAAGTGTCCAAAAACAAGGAAAGCCTGTCAAAATTTGCATTCATGCTACGCACATTAAAGTGCAAAAAGGACGTTTCATTGACAGGACAGTTTTTTAAATGTTCAGAAAATTGTTTTTCAGTAAAATATTTTGAGTCGTACACTGTAGTTTCAACCTCGTCATTTAACATATATTCAAAATGTGTTGCATTCATATTCAACTCTGCAACAATATTATCATCAGACTGAGTGTGAATCAATTGAGTAGCATTAACCTGAGGCATCATAACCTTGACTAAAATCTGCACATAGATCTGTGGTTATAAAGTAAGTAACTGGATTTAGCAATAGCACAAAAGGGGAAAAAAAGACATTCACACAATTGATAGAGATGTTAAAAGCCATCCTTTCCGCATGGCCAAGCATCACGTGTACAAAAATGTGATGTGTTAACATATTTACAAACTTCCTCAAAATGAGTAAGGAAAAAAGACTCATTTACAGAGGAAAAAAACTAACAAGTAACAACAAAAACAAACAAACGTGGGTTGCTTCTGGGGCCCAGAATCAACCTAAGAAAACTAATGATTTTCTCTAGCGTACATAATACATATAGAGGTCTACAGACTGTTTAACATACATTCGTTATGAGTCACATCATTCACATGTGAAGAGATCAGATTGGTCGTTGTACTCACTAATAATAATAATGCACTTACAAAATATATCCTTTTCAGCCATGGCGTATTCGGTTTCTCGTTGCCGAACAAACAGAGTGCAAAACAGCACTATACCATCACTTAAACGCAACACGAAAACAGATGTTTTTCAATATTGCCAATATTATAGTAGGGATCTGAATATTTTTACATTCCAGAACTTTTAGTACAATGTGACAAAATTATAAAATATACTCCCATAAGAACAATACTTGAATGGTTTCAATTAACTGATAAACACTATTGAATGAAATCAAGTGTGTGTCTATATAGATTATATTTAATATCCGTACCTCTTTTTTTATTCAGACTTGGGTATAATCTTTGTATCTTTATAATGGAAACACTACATCTTCTGTATCGAAGTAAGAAATCTGTTTTAACCATATATGTTTTTATTTTTTTAATGACTGCAATTTATCTTCCATGGCCAATGTCACAGTTGTCTCCTCTTCCTCTACCACTTATACTTCTCCACCTCTTTCTTTATCTTGCCCTTCTCCTTTTTGCTCATTCGTTTTCTAACACTCAAAAAACTCAAATCTCGTAAAGTCAATTTCTTTGAATTTTTGCACAGTTATAGGTCACTCCCTGGGACTTGACAGGAACATTTTCTAGTTCATCAAGTAATCGTGACGTCATCAAGGCGCCATTATGTGAAATTTTCTGAAAATCAAATCATTATCATATCTTCATTACGGAATGTCATTTCTCATTCATATTTATCAAGGTCAATATCCGTCCGGCCAATTTAAAACGCACGCGTACGCGTACGTCCGTGCGTCAGTGCGCGCGCAAAATATTTTTAAAAATCGTCTCAAATTCATTTTTCACACGTTCTAAGCCACTATGACCATTTCCCCAAAATCGTCCACACAAGCATGATATTTTCATGATATTTTTTAAACTTTTCCGAACAATTTGATACCATATTTATCTCTTTATTACCATTAATAATGGGATGAGCGTCTGTTCAAGATAAATATCCGTGCGCGCAAAGCATGCCTATACAAAATCCATTGTAGCTCTTTAGGATGCAAGCTGACCGCCATTTTTTCCTGACGAAAATGTGATTTTGTGTCTCATTTAGCCATTAAATTTATTCTGACGTCATCATAATGGCTTTGAACTCAACAAACACATTTGCATATTATGACGTCAGCATATTTATAGAACGTTGAGCGTATCTCTGTAAATAATGATCGATTTTTTACCAAATAATTATGATATGTTGTAGCTGAAACAATTCTCTACAAGATCAAGTATTATTATCTTTCATTTTGATGACGTCATCTAAGTGACAATTTCTACCCCCCCCCCCCCAATTTAAGTATGTGACAGCTGATACTATGAAATATCGTTAGTGTGCCTTTTTTTTTAAATCAGATGTTGGGATCATTTCGAAATTTTCAATTGAAAGTTCAAATTGCGACTATGCCGAGGCGGTTTGTCTGCTTTGCATGTTATGTCTATGGGACATATTTTGGTATAGTGGTTAGAGCAGTCGACTCCCATTCCGGTGACCCAGGTTCGATTCCTGGTGGGTCAATTTGTGTTGTGCTTTCTTTGATTATTTGATTTCATCACCTTCTTCGACTATTATAACATAATGTGTATATAATCACAAACAATGTAATACAATTTGAGACAGGAATACCGATAGTATACTGATTCCTTGTCGTGTATTAAAGATAATAGGGACTTTTAAATTGAGTGGACGAGAACACGACGAACGCCGACTGATCATGCGTGTCAACGTACTCAACTGCTCATGTTGACTACAATTAGAAATCTTTCAGATTGCACTCGACGATATACATGCATGCAGGAAGTAACACTATGAACATGACGGACAAAAAAAGAGGACAAAATATACAGTTCCTCATTTTACCCTCAACAATTGCTGTGGTACGTAGACAAAAGAACATCCCTTTACTGCTATTACGTAAAAATGTGTAAAATAGGTGAATATTCATGTGACACCTGTTGAGCATGTGTATGTAAAGGCGCTATAAAAAATATCAATATGTACATATGTATGTACTAGATTTAGGAAAATCAAGGTTGACGCATTCTCGATCGCCGACTGAGACGACGTGACGCATGCGCATGACGTCACACGTTGCAGTCAAAGCTGTCGACGTGCACATTTAAAAGTCCCTAACATACCCCTTGTGCTTCGGGGGCTCCGCCCCTTGACCCCCGCCGGGGCTTTGCCCCTGGACCCCACATTGAAAAACGTTCAGCAGGGCCTGCATGTAAGAGTGGTGTGATGCGGATTTTTTTTTTCAGCCCCACCCCAAAAAAAAAAAAAAAATATATATATATATATATATATATATAAGCGTTTTTTCTCATTACGCCACTGCGTTGCTGCGGAATGAAGAGAATCACTATTTAATGGAAAAATTCCTCCACGAAGCCAAGTACAAAATAGCAATACGGTCCTCGGACGCTCCTCGGACGCTCCTCGGAGTGGCATACGCTCCCTAATCTAGCTAGTTTTGTAAATATCATAGTGATTATTTTTATGACAGTTTATTCTTTCGTGGCTTCAAACTAAGTTGCTCGATAACATCACTCAGTATGATTTCATTCGATATATATTTCATTAACGAAAATGAAATAAGGTTCATAATTCCGAAAATGAAATAAGTTGCCTAAAAAGGAGGGAGGGAAAACCGGAACGACTGAGCACCCCTGTAATTTTTTTTTTCTGACTTGTTTTTCAATTACAGATCGATCAATCGATCTTATTCACTGGGTGTAAGCCACAAATATGTTCAAACTATTGAAATTTCTCCCAGGAAGCATTACATTTATAAAAAAAAGTTATTGTCCTATGGCAGACTAATGAATATGAGTCAGAATGAATCAGGAGAGCTTAGGTATTTGTTTCCAATTCATCGTGACTGTACCATGGACCAGTGATGGCCTGGTCGTAGAGTCGCTGCCCGGCAAGCAGTTTATGGCAGGTTCAAATCCCGCTGGTTCCAAGATTTGTTCTGACTTGTTTTTCAATTAGAGATTGATCAATCGATCTTATTTACTGGGTGTAAGCCACAAATATGTTCAAACTATATTGAAATTTCTCCCAGGAAGCATTACATTTATAAGAAAAAGGTTAAAGTATGGTTCAAAGCACTAGCTGACCTACACGGATACAAGGGAGGCGAGCAAGCCTTGCCCCCCCCCCCCCCCCCCCCGCCGAAAAAAGAGAGGGAGGTAAAGGAGCTTCACATACATACCGGTCTTACTCAGAAAATTCAATGCGAATATACAAGGTCGCTAGTTAGGGGATGATGCGAAATGGGGTCAAATTGTTTTCTTTTTTTCTCCCTTTTCCCTTCTGTTTTCTTTTTCTCTTTTTCTTTCATATTTTTTGGCCATCAAATTGACGTGCCGTGCCGCCCCTCCCCCCCCCCCCCTCCGTACATTCGTAGCTACGCCACTGCATGCACAGTGGTAAAATTCCAATAATGTACACATTTTTCCAACAAAACTATTGAGTGGGGATGGTGTCACGCCCATATCATATTTTTTGTCCGATAACGATAACGAGATCTGAATTAAAGGTACACACTATTATTTGTGTGAGCACGTGCATGTCTGTTAAGAGTAGGGCAGCTGTCGGGTGTACCTTTAACGAAAAATCTCGTTATCGTTATATTTATCGGACAAAATTGTAATGTGACCGGCCCTTATATGACACCCCACCCCCTTGATATCTACGCGGCTAACCGGTGACAAATGCTAATAATAAGACAGACACGGACATTTCTAAAGTGATACAGACATTCTACGGACATTTAAAAAATGACGCTTTGTTCAAATTGTCCAACCACAGAAAAGAGAACTTTGGGGAGCAGGGTCGAGAATTAATGTTTGGCCACCCTTAAAAAACGGCTTTCAGGCCATTTCCCATATCTCCAGATGACTCGTCTGTCCCTCTTTGTATTTGACCAGAGTACGACATTACATGTCATTTACAGGCATCACAAACTTGAGAATAGACTGCCCAAAAAGTAAGATTGAATATTATTAGAGGTGCGGTTACTTGCTTCCGACTTAGTTGCAAAGAACCCGAAAAGAGGGGACGGTCAATCCCATGAATGAAATTTTAAAAAGGCGGAGGGGGAGCCAGTTACAAATACCAAATAAAAAGCAACTGGGAAACAAACGAACAAATAACATTTTAAAAAGTAGAAAATAAAACGAAATCGGTGAGATGACCTCCACCAATTACCTTAGCAGTCAATTATGATACCCCCCCCCCCCCCATGCACAAAGTATACGAAAGACTTGATCCATGGCTGATCGCAACTTTTGTCACCTCTGTTTGTTGCTACGGCCAAAAAAAATGAAAATATAGAAGTACCTTATCAAAAGAATCATGGCGATTTACAGAATTTACTCAATTAATGTATAGACAACTTGATTTGAATGTGTACAATATATCATCTAGATGATGATACAAGTGATCAGGATCTGTGTGACGCTGGTTGGACACGTAACGGTAATGCATGCTACCAACTAGTTGAATCTACCGTCGACTATAGTACAGCCCTTGATGCGTGCAGAAATCTCAATGACTCCGGTGATCTGGCGAGCGTAGCTGATCAAGACGAAAGCAACTTTCTTTTCGTATTATCGAGGTAAGCCCCTGCCCCCGACCCCACTATTCGAATAAAGGAGCCACATCATGGAATATTCTATTGGCAGCAACCCTCACCCACACGAACAGGCAAACATTTAGCCGCGTACCCTCCCATGCCACCTTTCACCCACAAGCAGGGCACCAAATTGAACTTTGCTTTAAATTTGACATAACGTCAGATTCAATGTTCAAATACAAAATTCATTTTTAGATTCATGATATGAAGCCATGTCAATTTGGTAAAACTTCTGTTTTCAAATATAACGCTCTACAAATTTATGCTACCACACGTTTTGATCAGTACTGTATCATGATTCCTATTAAGGGTATGACTATGAAAAGATTGTTTAACTTTGTTTCAATTTTTATTTATCAAATACGCAGACGCACCTTTGGTACGAATTCTTACTGGATTGGGTTCAATGACCTCGATGAAGAGGGAGCTTGGGCCTGGACTGATGGCTCGGTTACATCCTATACCAACTGGTATTCTGGAGAACCATGTAAGTAATAACAACGAATTCATTTTGCAGAATAAGTAAAGGCGCTAGGCATGGTAGGCGCGGATGTCCCACCGATGGAGACTGAAATACAAGCATAATTTATTCAAGCTTAACTACTTTTCATTTATAATAATACATTATTGATCACTGAACACAATTCTGAAGGTACCATCGTGGCGCTCCTACAAAATTTCTCCGCACTGTGATTCGTCAAAGATATAGAATAAGGGTTGGGTTTGCGTTGCACTAGAATTTTAGTTCACATTTTATTGTAAGGGTTACTTGTATGTTAAGTCGAGTGTTTAATTATGTTGCAGGGTTCGGTGAGGGTAGGATGTTGATCGTGGAGCAGTTATTACTGGAGAATGTTTCGCAACGAAGACAGTTCTTAAATCAAATATGAAATATAGCTTATAAGCTAAGCTCCTCATTTCTGATATTGTTATCTCTTTATTTAGCTGGTGGATCTGAACATTGTGGTGTATTACGATGGAGTTCAGACGGCACATGGTATGATGCAGACTGCTCGTCAACATACGGCTACATCTGTAAATACCCGCTAAACACCAGTAAGTCACACTCTATATTCAGATCCAGAATGTTTATGATAAATATATGGTCTCTATGACTCAGGTTTCGAATATAATTCAACGTTATACATAGAAATTGCTTTAGTGAACTTTCCACCTTGTAAAACAAGGTCTCTTAGCTCGAGACTAGCTCTATTGCTTAGTGTGGCCTATCTGCTGAATTATAATGATATAGGTGAAAATAAAATAAAATAATGTCTTTTTACTTAAATATGTCATATATTTTTTGTTGTAAATCCAGGATCAGCGTCATTTGAAGACGTTCAGTAAGAGGTTCAGTCACACTTAACTCATCGATCAATAACAAACCAATAAATCAAATCAAATCAAATCAAATCATACCATGATGACTTAAAATTCAAGTCCGAGTAGAACCGAAGAAAAAAAACCTCCTTGATAAAATGATTTACTCTCCCTTCCTCTTCCTTTCTCTTGATCAGTTTCCTGTGCTGAATGGAAGCGTAAAGGTTATACATCTGATGGATACTACACAATAGATCCTGATGGGAGAAATAATGGAGTCGATCCATACAGAGTATACTGTGATATGACTACGGATGCTAGCACAGGTAACATATCAACGATAAATTATTAGTTAAAGAAGTCAAGAATCGGTCATGTATTACTATTCATAAAGAAATTGTCCATGTGTGTACTCATTATTTTTACAATTTGTCTTGGTTATCTCGGCTAGGTATTACGACATTCGAGCACCAGGAGGCGAATCGATCTTTGGTAACAGATGCAGAGGCGCCTTTTAGTTTCATCCGAAACATTACTTATGGTAACAAGTCGGTTAATCAAGTGGCTACCGGCGCCGATATCAGCGGAGAGTGCTACCAATATATCAAGGTAGGGTAACACCGAGGGTTCTACTTTTTTCTCAAAGTTCCTTGATGATATATTTATCTATCTATCTAAGTATCTTCTCCTGGTTCGGAGGTTGATTGCAACATCTCTCCATTTCACTCTTCTGCCATTCTGGTGCACTCTTGCAGTTTTAGTCCACTCTCGTTCTTGACATTCTCTTCCCAGTTGATTCTGGGTCTCCCTCTAGGTCTACTTCCTTCCACTCTTCCTTCCAATACATTTTTTAAGAGGCTTTGGTACCTTTAAACATGACCAAAGTATTTGATTTTTCTCTCCTTAACTAACCCTACTAGTGCAATTTGTTTACGCCCTGCCATGTGCAATATCACTGTGTTTGTTTTCATTCGTTTCCAGGATATTTTCATCATTCTTCTGTAGATCCACATTTCAAAAGATGTTATTCTATTTTCCATGGCCTTGTTTATTGTCCATGTTTCTGCTCCATACAATAGGACAGACCATACATAACAGTTTACTAGTCTCAACCTAAGCGCAAATTTCACCTTTCTATTTGTGAATAATCCTTTCATTCCCAGAAATGTATTCCGAGCAATTTTTATTCTTCTTTTTATTTCTGCTTCGCATCTGGCATCTTCTGTAATATTTTGTCCTAAGTAGATGTAATTACTGATTTGCTCAATGATATGTCCATCAAGTTCCAAACATATTCTAGGCTTATTCTCTGTTCTACTAAAAATCAGTGACTTAGTTTTCTTGACATTCATGCTTAGACCAAACTCTTCACTCTTGACTTTTACAATGTCTAGTACATGTTGCAAATCTGCTTCATTCTCTGCGCTAAGTACAGTGTCATCGGCATGACGTAAATTATTAATATTTACACCCCCAATACTAACACCTTTCATATCTGAAATTTCCCTAAATACCAACTCTGTGCACAAGTTGAACAGAGATGGGGACATTACGCATCCCTGACGTAATCCTCTTTTGATTTTTGTATAACCTGTAATTTCATTGTAAAATTTGATTGCAGCTGTCTGCTCCCAGTAAAGTTTAGATATGAGACGTATGTTCTTATCATCTAGATTTATTTTCTTAAAGCTTTCAATTTGTCGTGGTGAATTTTGTCGAATGCTTTAAGAGTAGTCAATAAAGCACACATATATTTCTTTATTTTATACTGCAATATACCTCTCTGTCATCATTCTCATACAGAATATTGCGTCTCTAGTACCACTTTGAGGTCTAAAACCAAACTGTTCCTTACCTACTTTATTGTCAATTTGAATTTTTATTCTGTTGAGAATTATTTTTAAGAGCAACTTGGTTACATGGCCAGTAAGGCTAATTGTCCGGACATATTCACATACACTTGCCTTAGGCTTCTTGAAATTGGCACAAATATTGACTTTTTTCAGATCTTTAGGAATATGACCTGTATTGTATATCATTTGATGGTATGTATATATATATATATATATATATATATATATATATATATAATAGTGAGAAATTGCAAACAATACATGCCACTTACATGTATCATGGTAATGAGGGCGACAGAATAAGAGCAATCCAAAACGTATACAACAGATAATATGTAACATAATGAACTTCAAGGGGAATGTCTGTGGAATAGTTAAGGAAAAAAACACAGGGAGATTAGGATAATTGGAGTCGCTTTTCTTTGGGAATTGAAAGAGGGAAGACCAGTGATCATTCAGAAGATACATGTTGTTGTTGTTGTTGCGATTAATGGCGTTTCCATCGTCATTCGATGATTTCCGCCAGGCAATATGAGAGGGCGTAGTTACTGGTCCTCTCTTATTATTTTTACTGTTGGATCGACGATAGCCTAGTGGCGTTGTGTTGTGCAATTAACAATGTCAGTAAATTGTTAGTTTCTGTAGATATTGATAATGACCTATAAGATGATTATGTCGAATATTATACAGTTATTGACTGGCAGGGGGTGTAATATTATACAAATAACGCACGTCCCAGAGTGCAATAGCGGTGAATGCAGTACGCGCGATGTTTCTTTAGATTGGTGCCGCTCTGTGCAACGAGCCGCTTGCGGCGAGTTGACAGTGCGAACCATCTGAAGAAACCGAGTGTACACTGCATTTACGTTTCGCACAACAGGGTCAAGTGCGTTATTTGTTTTATAAAATAGCGACACAAATAGCAACAAACGAAACTTTAGATCTAATAAGTTAGAGTCTACGAGAGTTCGATCTAGATCTAGATCTAGAGTTATGTTGGTTCTGACTAAGACCTTGCAGGCTTACCAAAAAGTCAATGGGATTCATTGCCTTGATTAAAAATAAAATCCATACAGTGGGTCTAGAGACGAGTCTACATCAGACAGCTGAAATATCTGGCTTCATTATAAAATCCAAAAGTCAAAACAGGCCTAAGTCCAAGGCAAAAGTAAAATAAATATTTGCTTTTTAATCATACCCCGCTGGCCGCTCTAGCTAGCTAGCTAGAGCTAAGCTACGCGTACGTTGCGCTGGGGATCATGGTGGAGCGTACAATATTAGCTACGCGTAGCCTACAATAATTGCAATGCACTTGAGGGAGCGCGTACTACACGTACGCGCGCACTGGATCTCCATGGTCACGTGCATTATAACTTTTTGTTGCGCTTTTTCTGCACTCATTTCTGCAAAATCGTGCTTGCATCAAAAAATTGTCAATGTCATGTGACGCGTATTGACCAATCACGATGCTTAAAATACTAGAGCCATTTTATAAAACATTATTTGGACCTTCGAAGGGAGCAGTGGCGTACGCAGGATTTTTTCAAGGGGGGGGGGGGGTTAAAATCGGGCCCAAAATTTCGCAACGACTCAGGAAAATTTGAAAATCGGGCCGGCCAAAAAGTCGCTCAGTGGGGGGGGGGGGGGGGGGGGGGGGGGGTGAGGGGGGTGAGGGGGAGGGGGGGTTAAGCGGACACCTTTTTTTTGGGGGGGGGAGGGGAGTCCAAAAAAAAATCGCACCGACTTAGCCAGCTGAAAAGACGCTCAGTGTGGGGGTAAGAGGACACTTTTTTTCTTTTTTTTTTGTCTCGAAATTTGAAAATTTGACATTTTGTTCCGTCGGGGGGGGGGGGGGGGGTAAGGTCACCTTTTTTAGGTCAGCCATTGGCATAATTTGTTTTTGTTTTTTTTGTTTTTATTACTAAAAAAACAAAAACAAATTCAAAAGGGGGGGGGGGGGTTCACAAAAATCATACACAAAACATACACATAAAAAAATATAAAAAAAATCAAGGGGGTTTAACCTCAACCCCCCCCCCCCCGCCCCCTGCGTACGCGCCTGAAAGGGAGTTACATTTCCCAAGTGGTTATATTTTCACAAGGCGCGTAGCTTGGTCTTGGTTTGATTTTTCTTTTTTTTTGCCCGAATTTTTTTTCTTTTGTCGGGGGGACGGGACAATCAAAAATTTTAAAAAAGAAGTAAAGAAAAAAAAATGGGAAGAATTATATTTCGAGATAAATCAAGAAAAAAAGAGAAAAGATCTTTAAAAAAAAAAAATTATAAAAAACATTCTCATCTCAAAAATCATTTTGGGGAAGAAAAAAAATTGTGGACAAAATCATTTCAAGGGGGAAAAAAATTCATAATAAAAAACATTGAACAAAATTTGTTTACCCTCGGTAATGGTAATGATATTTCTTTTTTTCCCCTCTTCCATCACCGTCTTAGTACGAATGCTATCTTTCCGTAATAACTGGCTTTGCTGCTTGGTATGACAGAGACGGAAAGCAGAAGAACTACTGGGGTGGAGCCACGGTAGACAGCGAAAAGTGCGCTTGTGGAATCTCAGGTATGACTGTATGTCATCATAGAGGGCGTCATTGGCTTACTGGATCAGAGCCATCCATGCACAGAGTTTGGCCAACTTGGTATCAGTTGGTTACAACATGACGAATTCTTATTCATTTATTTTTTTGGTGCTAGCCCTCGACAAAGCAGTATTCGCAATATTGTAACCAACTAGAACCGTGTTGCTCAAACTTTGTATATTGATTATTCTGCACTGAATGGAATAGGATTATCTCACATGAATGCAACAGCAGTGATGTCATTGTAAAACATTATCTCAAATAGTGAAGTACTAGTCCACATAAACCGAATAATTAGCGTTTCAAAAGTTGTCAACATTGCAGCTTTCTGCGCACTAAAACAAAAACCAAGCGCATCGGAGAAACATGTAAATCCGCTTAATTTCAAATGATCAACCTACATATCCCATCGAGATAAGCTATGAACGAATTGATCTTGATCTTTTTCTTTCAGGTTCGTGTCACAACGATCAGGACTGCAACTGCGATGCTAATGACAATATCTGGAGAGAGGACTCGGGGTATCTTACCGATAAGACTACCTTACCTGTTACTGAAATGAGGTTTGGTGACACAGGAGACACCGTCGAGTACGGGTATTATACACTAGGACCATTATACTGCAAGGGAGATGAATCTTGTAAGTTTTATATGAAAACGATCACTTATTATTACATAGCTTCGTAAAAATTTCTAATCCATAAAAAAGTTGGCAATAAACGTATCTGGCATTATGACTCCCAGAAAGAGAAGTAGTATGAAACAAAATTTGCGCTCCGAGAAATGGTGGTTATTATACTTGTTAGATGATAGAGATGATGGTTACGTTGACAATGCAGATAATGATTCAAACGATGAATATAATGATGATGATGGCGATAATGATGATTTTTATTATTATGCTGATGATGAGGTCCATGATGACAACTGCGATGACAACAATGCAGACTGATAATTAGAGCCATTATAATCCAACTCCGCAACCTTTCGCAAATCTAAAGATTCCTGACACGTATGGCTACTGAAACCATGGTTCATTCCCTCATCTCTTCTCGCTTAGACTTTTGCAATTCTCTTCTGATACATCTTCCTGACTACTAACTGCAACGCCTCCAACAACTCCAGGGGGATGTTTCACTAAGCCCTAAAGTCGATCTAAAAATCGATTTTATCAATTTTAAGGGCTTAAAATTGATTTCGATTTTAGCAGCTGTTTCACTAAATAAATAAAATCGATTTTGGCCTTAAAATCGATTTTAAGTTAAAGTGTGATCCATATCAATTTTAAATCAATTTTATCCTTATTCATTGCACTATTGATATGCTATGTTCAGCATTCATTGGTTTTAAAGGCGCAAGTGTCGGCTAGCTTCAATTTGAACATACATCTGAAAATGAAGAATTCTGTTCTTGGGGGAACAAATCTTTGTTCATAACCATTTTTTTTTAAAATCATCATAATTAGGCATGATTAATACCAAATGTGGCACTCTGGTAGGGGGAGCACAATGGCCCATTTTTTCTTCAAAAATACATGGGCGGCCCGTTTTCCTCTTAACCCTATCTAGCCTGGGGGGGGGGGGGGGGGGGGCTTATCCAGCCGGCGGCACGGGAGGGGGCCCAATTCGTGAGACAATATTTAGCAGCGAAACAGCCGGCCGATAATTCGCTCAGTTTTTTTTTTTTTTTTTTTTTTTTTTTGGGGGGGGGGGGGGGGGTAGTGAACAATAAAAAAAAAAAAATTGGGGGGGGGGGGGCCTCGAAAATTTGAAAAATCGCACCCCCCCCCCTTTAACCCCAGAGGAGGGGGCCCGGACCCCCGAGGCTATGCAGTTTCATAATAACCCATGCTAGATAGGGTTAAAGTGCCCCTTTTACATCTGATTAACATCCCTTTTTGTTTATTACAAGTGCACTTTTCCTTCATGTAGTTTGTCCCGTTTCACTTTGTTTTAAAGTTCCTCTTATTATTTCTAATAACTTTTTATGTTTTCTTCTTAGAAGTGACCCTTTTCCATTTTGTTATGTGCCCCTTTTTCTATATATTTTTTTTACCATATGTGCTTACAATTATGTGTCCTTATTTCGTTCATATTCTCTTTCTCTCTCTCATTAACATAAAACGACACTCCCATCACAACGCTTTGCTTGCCGTAATTTTGTTTCTTCATGAACACACCCCCCCCTCCTTCCCCCACAAAAAAATAAAGAACAAAAATGAATAAACAATAACTCACCAGCATACAAACATACCATTCTTGAATTACATCATTGCCCTTTATCATCATGTAATTATTATCACCATGCGCTAGCGTACAATCTCATCTATTCATCCCCCCCCCCCTTTTATGTTCTTAAAAGACAAAAAATACATACAAAATAAAATTAACACAGATTTTAACGTATAATCAATATGTTTATGCTTTAATGAATGAAATCTACATTTTGTAAATGATGAGCATAGCAAACACATTCAAGGGATACAATTACAATATTTTAAATGACACAAATAAAAGTGCTCCTATGAAAGTATCAGCCAGTTGTTAAAACTACTGCAGCTGATATCTGCCACTCTCTATTCGAGTTACCTTTAAGGGGATTAAAAGAGTAATACTTGTCACAAATATTTCTGTTACTCATATGGATGTTAATCTAAGGACGATATACATCGTCATGTAAGGTCACGCAGTCGGTGAGAATGTGGTTTCTTGATGCAATAGTTTGTCTATATGAAATTAATCATCAATTCTTTTCTATCAGCTTTGACAAAAAATTCTAAGGACAACATAAGTCAGAGTTAATATATTTCCTGCAGGAAAAATCTGTTTTCCCTCAATCACAATGTTTTGTTGTTTATTTTGTATTTGTTGTTGTGCAATCGCTACAATAGCACTTTAAGCACCAACAGGTAATTATCGATACATAGTCATGCAAGAAGTGCCTCAAGGAAGAGTTCCAAATAGGTCATCAAACTGCTGCTCAGATGAATTGCTAATTAAGAAATTCCAATTTGATATTTTAAGATTTATTGCCATGAACAAAATTATCTATGTAATGTGAGTTTGGTAACAATAACCTCCATGACAGAATTATAGCTTTTTATTTCTTCTCTTTTCTTCTGCAAGATTCTAAATTCTGTTTAAAATAGAGGAAATCTTGGAATTATCATTAAAACGTTTACTTCCTTTAAAATATTTTATGTTAACATTTTATCAAACCCAAAACCTCAAACTCGATGGCAAAATTTTAGTACCTTGACTTGAGCATTTTTAATAGCTTATAGGAATTACTTTGTAAATCTTTTTTTACAAGCAGTGTTGGTTGTAAAAAGTGAACAGTCCATGATACCAAGATCTGTATCTCATTGTGGTTCCTCTTGCTTAAAGCTGGAAAAGGGAGCTTCTATCTGTAGGCTGGCTGATGTTTCATAAGAAGCATAACGTTGCAGGTAATTCAGGCTCTGCAGTCTAGAATAGGAATTGAAAGTTATGAAATAAATGAATCAATTACTACAACTTTTGTATTTATGATTATTTCAAATACTTTAATTGCTAAATAAATAAAGTAGGAGAATAAAAAATAGTTACAGAAGATAAATGATTAATTGTTTGCTTTGGATAAAAAAAAAAAATCCTTTCATTACCATTTGTGTATTTTTTATATAACAGAATGGATAAGATGGGTATTAGACTTCTTACAAGGATTATGAAAAATGATAGATCAATTTTGATAATAAATACTGCTTACCTTTTCAATTTGAAGAGATGGACAATAAATGTTCATTTGTCATGAACTAGCAGTACATGCAGATGCCATAGCTCTTTATTTTGCAACCTAGGATTTAAGACAGAGATACATATATTTGTTATGAAGAGAGCACATCTATTTTTCGGAAAAGTAATTGTCATTGTATCAAATGTGTTCAAAAGAACATAAGTACATTTTTATCAGTAATTACAACAGTAATTTACATGTATTCGGTCCAAGACATTGTTACCAACCAAATTGTAAGGTTTTTAGACATTTGGAAGATTGACTATGGAGTCTAATCTTGATCTCGGATACCCTGCTCTTGAACCAAACACTGTTGTACACAGATTCAATGAACATTCCCCTGTCGTGAGTAGAAGGCAAAGAGGTATAAAACAAACAGAGCAGCTTTCATCATACATATATTCTCATTACAGTTTGTTCAATCACCTCTTTATACATTAATTGCTGCCCTATTATTTGTACAATATTAATCAGGCTGGCTGATGAAGTAATTTATCAATGATTTAGACATGTCATAGTTGACTTCCCCCTCACATGGATTTATCAGTTTTCGATTGTACGTAGAAAATTAATGAAAATCAAGATTTACACACTCAACAACAAATAAGTAATCTATTTATACATAGGTCTACAAGAACCACACAAAAAACTTACCTTCGTTTTATTATTGGTGTGCAAATTTTACTAGTAAGAAGATCACTCCACAAGGCCGCTTTGCACAGTAGGATCTATATCTGTACACCTAGACATTGAGCTTGAGTACATTCTGCATATCCAAACCCTTTCCTTGAGCCTGAGGCCAAGGAAGAATGAGAAGTCCAAGACTGTAGAGACACGGCAGAAGAGAACTTTTGAGTCTTGGACTAAAGCCAAATCTATTTGGTGGATACGACTTGTGGTCCACTCCATCTTTTAGTCCGACTCTGAAATTTAAAAAAAAAATTAATTCTAGGATAGTCTAGAGCTTGGAGTTGGACTGTGTTAGGGACCCTAATACCAGGGACGGATTGGGGGGGGGGGGGCACAGTGCACGTGCCCCCCCTGGCCCCCAAAAAATGTTAAAATCAGCAAAATTTGCCAAAAATGTACTGACCAACAGGGACGTGCCCCCGGCCAAATAAAAAAAAATTAGTGTTACCTCCTAGACCTAGACTAGTCTCTATATCAACAAAAACAAGACAATGCTAAAATAAATAAGGGATAGGGCCTAGATCTAGGCCTAGATCTTGATTCTAAGCCCAAATCTACAACTAGTAGCATAACTAGTAAAACCACAATACTACTGCAAGAATAAACTAGACTAATAAGTTTGTACCTGTCTGTCCTAACCGAATAATAAACGTTGTAAGGAAACTACTGTTGTTGTTGTTTTTTTTTTGTAATAGCAATCAGTCAAGACCTGACTATTATCACCAACGCCTTTCTTTTTAATATTAATTTCTTTCTTTTTCTTTTTTTTTTAAATAGAGTATCAAAAAAAAAAAAAAATATAGGCTTCTCTCTTTTTTTTTCTTCTTCTTTTCCCCCTTAAAATGAAATGAAAGAGAAAATAGATGAAGAAAAAAATAAAAATAAAAGTACGACAAAATGTAGATTTTTGTATCCTGTAGGTTACCGCGTAGTCCTGTCCGTTCTAAGACACCGTCCAGACACCGTCCTGTCTCTCAGGTGTAGACAGGGGGCTCCCTTTGGGAAAACATTAATAATCTGGAAACTCGAAAGAAGAAAGGAATTAATCAACAATTTTAAAATCAAGAGGGTACTTTTCCGGGGAAATTGGCTTTGAGCGACTTCGCAGACTTTAATGAACCTTCGATTAAAAGAAAAACAATTTTGTGATAGAGTGGTGTTTATAATACATGTTGCATTGGATAATTAAAATGTTTAGGGGAAACAAACAAAATGTGGGCTTTTGTGAGTAGTGGTGCAAAAAAAAAAAAAAAAGTGCTCGATTATTTTGGGTTAATTGAAACGTTTCGTTCTTACAACGAAACGGTATAAAGCGTTTTGAATGTTAGCTTCTGATGAATTTAAGAGCCTTAAAATATCGTCGGGATTTATACAATCTGTTTCAGCGAGTAGCATGGATCTTTCAATTAAATATTTCTGGCACTTTGCTATAAAGTGTTCAGTGGTTTCTACTTCTCGACACGAGTTACAGTGTCCAGTTGGGATGTATTCCCATTCGGCCTAGATCCACGTTAAGACCGATGTGTCCAAGTCGTAAACGACGTATTATCTTTTCTTTTGCTCGCTCTAGTTTGCAATTGAAGGTTTGTGAAACCGATTTTTGGATTGTTTTGTAGTGTGTATTTGGAGAAACCTGCCATCTTATTTGCCACAGCTCGGTAAAATGCCTCTCTAAAATGCTGTTAACTTCTGAGATATTAAGGCTGTTTGTTATTTCAATGTGTTTGCTGAGGGCTGCCTTGGCATGAAAATCCGCACATTCATTTCCTGTTATTCCACAGTGGGAGGGAATCCATTCAAAGCTAACATTTATATTTTTTAATTTGAGGTGGGATAAGCTTACAAGTATTTCTGAAATAAAATTCTCTTCTTTTTTATTCTTTATTGCTACTAAGGCACTTAATGAGTCGCTGAATATAACTGATCCTACATATAAAGTATCTAACTGGTGTAACCAATTGAGGGCCAGCATTATCCCCGCCAGCTCAGCTCTATATGAGGATGTTCCGTCAGACAATCTCTTTGATTGTTTACACGCGAAGTAAGGAACATAGAAAGCTGCAGAACAACGTCCTTCTTTAGGGAGTTTGGACCCATCTGTGAATATGTGAAGTTGGCTAAACCATTTTGTGTTTATTATCTCTAAACTTCTCTGTTGCAAAAGCAGTGGATTATCAGATTTGTTTATCTGACTAGCCAATTCAATTGATATAACAGGCTCCGTTAGTAACCATGGGGGGAAGTTTAGGGGTTTTAATTTTTCTACAGAAAGGTGTTTGTTAGAGTTTTCTGTTCGATAACCAAACGGTTTGTTGCACTGTTTTCCTTTCATATACTGATACTGCCAACAAGGTTGTAAACTTGGAAAAACTGGATGCTTAGGTTGTTGTTCTATGCTGTGCTTATATTTTAGGGCTAGTTGTTGTCTCCTAAGATCTAATGGGGCTTCTCCCATTTCTACTTCGAGAGACGCTAGTGAAGTTAACGGTAGGGCACCTGCACATATCCTTAAGGATTGGTATTGAATCGGATCTAACACCTTCTTTATGTTTTCCGATGCACTGTCGTAGGCTTCACACCCGAAGTCCAAAAGGGGGCGAATATAAGCTCTATAAACCATTATTAAGGACTTAGATGAACTGCCCCATGACGTACCAGTTAAACATCTTAATATATTTATTTTTCTCTTGCATCTGGTGGATACATACTCTATATGTTTGGTCCAGTTAAGTTTTTTGTCAAATAACATACCTAGGAATCGGTGTGTATTTTCACATTTTAGTGGTATTTTGTTTAAAGTGAGGTTTATCTCATGGTTTTTGGTACTTTTGGTGAAAAGTAGGGGGACAGTCTTCTTTAACGACAGTTGGAGACCCCAGGATGTGAACCAGCTATGTAGGTCATCAATATAATTTTGTATTTTTTTGGTAATGAAAGGAATATTGCTGCGTGAGATCCATATCGCGCAATCATCGGCATACAAGGATATTTTTATCGAAGGGTCTGTTGGGATATCGTTGAGCATTATGTTAAAGAGTGTGGGACTAAATATGCTACCTTGCGGGAGACCTCTCTCCATCTTGAACTCGTGCGATAGTTGTTTACCAACGCGTACTTGATAAGTGCGGTCTTTTAAAAAGTTGCGAAGAAATCTAAGCATGTTTCCTTGAATACCTATATTTCCTAGTTTGTGAATTAGGCCTTCTATCCATACTGTATCATATGCCTTATTTATGTCTAAGAAAACGGCTAAAGTATGCTCTTTATTATTTATACTCTTCTGGACATCGTTTTCAAGATTTACTATATTGTCTGTTATACTACGGCCTCTTCTGAACCCACTCATAAAAGTAGGTAAAATCTCATGTTTCTCTAGAAACCAATCAAGTCTTGTTTTAATCATCGTTTCCATGATTTTTATGAGACATGGCGATAACGCTATGGGTCGATACGATGATGCCTCACTTGCATTACCGTTCTGTTTGAGGACTGGGACCATTATCGCGTGTTTAAGTTGGGGAGGGATTTGGTTGGATTCCCAGATTAAATTAATGAAATGTAGTACGTACTCTCTCGCCACAAGGGGCAAGTTTTGGTAAACTAAATACGGTATTCTGTCTTTTCCAGGAGCAGAATTTCTTTTCTTTTCGATGGCTCTATTGAATTCTGCTAGTCCGAAAGCCCCGTTCAGAGTATGTACTTTACTTTCCTTTAATGTATTATCCTTAATTTCCTGATTCGGCTGCCAACTTCGGGTTTTCTCTGTTGATTTTGGCGCTTCTGTAGTAAAAATTGTATGAAAGAAACCTCCAAGTAACTCCGCCTTGTCTTGGTCCGACTGCATGAATTTATATGAATGGGACTGAAATGGTTGAACCGGTGCAATTCGTCCACTTGGAGATATAAATTGATTTTATTTAAGATTTCGTTCAGTTACACAAAAATGAAATTGCATAATAATGAGAGGAACTCTTTTCTTCTTCCAAAATAACAGATTTGTTATCAACAGAATTGATATTTTCAAAGAAAAAACGGATTTTACTTACTTTTCAAGAACTCTCACTGTAGTCAAGCAAGGCCATTTTGTGATCGATTTACCCCAAATTGACTAGCCTTGATTGCAGACATCTAAAAATCTATTTTAGCTTAAAATCGATTTGATGAAACAGCTCACAAGTATCGGTTTTAAGCTAAAACTGATTCGGCCTTAAAATTGATTTTAAAAATCGAAATCGATTTTAGTTGATGAAACACCGCCCAGAACTCAGCGGCCAGACTTGTAACGCTCACTAAAGGCACCACTCACATCTCACACATCATTCAGGCACTGCGCTGGCTTCCTGTCCGCCAGCGCATCATCTTCAAAGTCATTCTTCTCGTCTATCAAGCACTTCACTGAACTGCACCCTCATACATACAAAACCTAGTACACCTCTATGAACCACCACGATGACACCGCTCTGCTCACACTCAACTTCTTTGCATCCCACGTTCACGGCACTCCTGGGGAAGGCGATCATTTTTAAGTTCTGGCCCTGAACTGTGGAACTCACTCCCTCCTCACCTCCGAAATGTGAACCCCTACTCACATTTCAAATCTCTGTTAAAACGTTTCTGTTCTCAACATATTAGTTTGTTTAATTATGTCTTACATTGTAACATTGCAATACCCTTATATAACTTTTATTACTGTAATATGCTTTGTATTGTATTATTCTATTATTGCAAATTATGTCCTGAAGTATGTTAAACTTTAACTTATGTGTATTTTACTTTCTTTCTTGAATTAATTGATGGTCCTATGCCCACAATTATACAATTTTCCACACAACTGCGCCAGAAGTGTCATTTTTGACAGACAAGGCGCATTATAAATGTTCACTATTATTATTATTATTATAATCCCGATGATATACAAATCAGGAATTACCATTCTGGTAAAATATTTGGTGAAATGACACTGACCCTGTGCTTCGTCCTTTCTTTCCATTCCTTAGTCCTTGTGACGGGTCGTACAGATTTCATGTTCATCAAA